TAATTGACTACTTTGTACTCACACAGAAAAACAAGGAGTGCTGCAATAATTAGTCCTATGGCAGCAATACCGATGGCAGTTGACAGAGGCTTCGGTCCAGCGCACACACCGGGTTTGATACAGTTACACACCACGACGGATAAAGTCTCCGTTGAAGGTTGGTTCTGCTTGTCCTGAATCACCAGTGGCACTGAGTAGTTAGCGTTGGGAAGTTTTGTCAGCAATCTAATGCTAACTTCTTCACCTGTTTATAACATAAAGATAAATAATTATGGCCCAGCAATGAGTATCTGCTTTAGGAATTTTGGTAGTGAAGCTTCAAAGGTGAGGACGAACCATATTCAGGTTCGATTTTCCAGCGTTCTTTCAGAGTTTTATCATCTGCCAAGGAGAAACTGAAGGGCCCACTGAATGGCTCAAGATCAGCATCTTTAGCACGCACCATGACCTTGTCAGCTTCGTTTGAACACAAAATGGCAGAATTGTTGAGCAGCTTAGGAGTGTTATCATTGATATCCCTGAGGTGGACACTGACTGTGCATGTACTTGTGGCTGGAGGTGAACCTTGAAAACCACAGAATAGGTCATTTGTTTTAGTTCATTTAATTCATTTATAAATTATGCCTTTTGATTGTAGCTGGAAATGTTTAGAAATGTCATACCATCATCTATGGCAGCAATAACAATTCTGTAAGTACTGTCCACATCTACATGGGGTGATTCTCTATCCATCTTTTCTATTGTTGTGATTACTCCTGTTTTTTCATCAACAGTCACCCAATTAGCAGGGTCTTCTACCAGTTCGTACCTGGACAAAAAGATATCAAGCAGTAGGTCAATTTGATCATCAGAAGAAAGATAAATGTTCAGCCACAAAACATTAGTAAAAAAGAAATTACTGTAGCAATGTTGTTGGGGGGGGGGAGCATTAAAAGAGGCATTATGGCATAACATGCATCTCGTTATTTATGCTCCAGTAAATAATAATGTTTTATTCAATTTATTTAATTTTTTCTGTCTTCCTAAAACATATTGATTACTGTCTTGCACAAATCTTGCTCTGATGATCAGTTGTAAGACAGCTAACTCGCCATTATTGATTGACCTCATAAGTAGTTTTGCTGCAAAGCAAACAAATAATACTGAACATAAATGAGGTTTCATTGAGAACATACCTGATGTTATCGGATTCAGCATCTTTAACCTTAGGAGTATACAGCACCTGTCCTTTCTCTGATTCCTCTGTCTGGTATACCTCTTCTGTATATTTTTCAAACAACGGAGCGTCATTAGTGTCAACCATTTTCACTGTGATGCTGACAGAATCTTTTGGTGGAAGGCTGCTTAAATCTTCAATTAATTTTCCATCTTTACAGACTGTTAAAGGTTCAACATTCTCAACTCCGATTTGCAGTTTTACCAAGGTGGTTATGTCAAAATTCTTTGCCTGAAGAAGACACAAGTGTAGATGTTCAGTAACTCCTCATAATACTTATGCTAATAATTGGTGAACTCATAGTTTAGTCCATTATGAATGTGCATTTTCTGTAAGGTGTGGTAAAACAGTTACCTTGACAACACCAACGATCCCTTCATTTGTTACAGGGTCAGTGGTAATAGCGTAGACTTCATCTTCATTGCCGCTGATAATGGAGTACTTGGCTCGCCAGCCGTCAGTGTTGGGAGTGTCCTTGTCCTCTACTGCAACTCTTAAAATATCTTTATGGGTTTGCATTTCCACAGCCTCAGCTTCATACTAAAAATATGAAGAAATAATAAACTTAGTGGAATTTACAAATTAGAAAAAAAAATTAAAATCAACATTGATATCATAAGTCAATCTTGCCTGTCTCTTCTTAAACTTGGGTCGATGGCTGTTTGTGTCAATAACATTGAGTTCAACGGCCACAGTACTGGAAAGAGGCGGCTTTCCACGATCTGATGCACTAATAACAACTGAGTAGTGTTTTGCTTTCTGAAAAATATAGTTAGGCATATTTTAGCTTTACCAAAAAACTGCACAGAGTGCGCGAGTTTCCAAAACTACATTGCTTTAAAAAATTAAGACCTACATCATAGTCAAAGCATCCTTCAGATATAAGTTGATGTTGTTTTTCAGTAATTTTCTTTACTCCAATCTTTGGTTCAGCCGGGCTTTGTTTAACCACAGTGACGTCGACTGTTGAGTTGATTGTGCCTTCCTGATCTAAGTCTACAACGTCCATCAACACTGGCAGGTAATCTCCTGGAAGACAAAGACAATCACAGGAATGGTCAGTCATTATTTTTCCCACATTTTCATGAAAAACTTAAGATTTGCAGAATTCACTTCATAAAAAGGAAAAAAGAAAGCTTAAACATAAGAATTCACAGCTGATGTGCCAAATTCTTTTGTCAGATAGTAATACAAATGTTATTCTAAACTAAAGTTTATCATGAAATTACAATGTTAGTAGACAAAGACTTTTTTTCAAATCAACGATCGGCATGTTAATAATTTTTGTTGCATGTACTTTAATAAATGTTTCATAGTTTAGAAAATCTGCAGACTTTTGACATATTTGCAGGTTTCTGAACTTACCCACTTTCGTATTTTCCTTCACATCGTAACTTTTCTGAAACTGATTAGTGAACATCGGTGCGTTGTCGTTTATGTCTTTTACATCCACATCAAAAGATAGTTCTTTGTCAATTTTTTTCGCAACTCCTATATCCCAGACGTCAAATGTGATCTGTTGATTATATTTTATTCAGATGACACAGTTTGTAATGACTACATATCATAGCAGGTATTAATAGTGACGGATTGTTCCTCACGTGATAGGAGGGCGTCTTTTCCCTGTCGAGGCGCCTATGTACGTAAACTTCTCCACTTGTTTTGTTGATGGTGAACAGTTTGCTATCATCATCTTCTACACTTATTTCAAAATGATGTTCTACATTTGCTGTCTTGTCATTGTGCATCTAAAAGAGACAGACATATAATCAAGTTACTAGTGGTAGGTTTTACTAACCTTATTGAGCTGTATAAAATATATATATGTATATATAAAGAATCTGTGTTTTACCGTAGTAATTTTGTACGGGTATTCCACGTCCATTTCCTCTTCTAGTTCTATGGTATTCAGGACCCATCTTCTTTTGGAACGTGACAAGGATTCCTAAAGAAGCCAAAATGCAGATCAAGCAAATAATTATGGAGGTTTCCGTTTAGAGAAAAACGTTGCCAGCAGTTTCTTTCCATATTTTCGTCCTTTTACCCGTTTGGCTCGTTTATGGTGCTCACTGCCCTCTTTGCTTTCTCCCAAAGATGCTAATGCAACCTATGGACAGAAAATACAGAAAAGTGATGTGATTAACTTACGAAGATTAATTGCTCCTTTCTTCCTAAATTTCTTTTACTTGTTACGTTTTTGTCACTTTTTCATTTAAGTTCGCTCATAATACTTATATCCCTTGACTTTACCTTCTCTCTCAACAAGATGGAGCATATCACCATGTGCACTCAGTTCAAGGATATTTTCACTAACAATGTCAATATTCATTTATACACACATGCACATAATTGCATTTCCATAGGTGTGAGATACTGCCTTTTGACTCTTATAAAAAAAAACGTTTGGCTGTTATAAATATATAAGACAAAGTTCAAATTATGTCTGTCTTATACTTTCTGCTTCAGCTACTATTATTTGACATTCATGAAGGTAAACAAATAAATCAATTTAAATTCCATGCTGTTTTTTTAAAGTCACAATACCCTTTAAGATCATTCGAAATTGTTTTAACAACAAAGGCATGATTGAGTTTCATTAAAAAAACAAGAAATTACATTTTCTCAATGGTTTGTTGTCAATATGTGCGTTTGTAAATGGACTGACTACAGAGAGCGCCTTTGCTGTCATGCTGCCCTCTCAAAGCGATTTACAAATCAGAGAAACCTGTTTACACTTACAAATATTTATGCATTTGTGCAATAATACACAGATCAGTAAGCAACTTGGGGTCAGGTGCCAGGTGGCAGGTGTGTGTGTGGAAGTGTATTTATTCTCTGTAAGGCCAATTTTTCCAACAAAATCTACATTGTGGGGACTGAGTGTTACCTATCACTTATTTTCAATTATTTTAATTTTTAAATTAGAGTTTTGGTCAAGGATTAAGGTGTGAATAGAGTTTAGGTTAGGTTTAGGTCCTAAACAGTATATCTAATCCTAAACTTTAGGATAAGTTATGTCCTGGTAATGGTTAGGTTTAAGGTCAAGGTTAGGCTATAGAAATTAATAATAAAAAAAATGAATGGAAGGGTTAGAGTTAGTGTTAATGCAAAGTCCTTGTGAAAACAGAAAGAGAGAGTGTGTGCATGTGTGTTTGATAAGTCATTTCCTAATTGAGGATTAAGGCAAACGGTATGAGTTTGCAAACTAACGTAGAAATGCAACAGTGTGCTAAAACATTTTTTTAACCTGTTTTTTGTTTTCTGAAATCAAAATGTGCAGGGTTTTAGGGGAGAAAGAATCAAAGTGCAAAATCCGCCAGCTGCAAAAATACAAAACAGAGGGGCGTTACAGCGGACGCACTGTATTCAGAGGCAACAGACCTTGATGCAGTCGTCCCCAGTTAGTCTCCCGCCCTTGATTCCTTTAACATGTCTTTGTTCCCTTCCTGTCAGATTACTGTGTGTGTACAGTGTGTTTTTCTAATTCTAAAAATAGTTAAATAAGGAAAAAAAAAATACAATAAGGAACAAGTGCTATTCTACTATTTTCACCGTAAATCTGAGACGGAAGAAAATCAAGGAAATAGAAAAGCAATGTTTCAATTTTTCGTGCCTAATTCACTGCTCATTTTCATTTTGTACAGTCTTTTTACAATTAAAATAGCACTGGATGTATCTAAATTGTTGTTAAAGAGCAAATGCAAGATATAATTAAAACAAATTGCGTAAAAAGACAAGTACATTAAGAGATTTAATTTGAAAATTAATGAGATAATATTTGACAGAGGCTTGAAACGTGTCAACATCTGGTAGTGAGTCAGGGATAAACTTTTCTGCATATATTTTGTAATATTTATGCATCGCAATTTAACTTATAAAAAAAGTTAAATTGCGATTTATTTAAAAAGTAAATAAATTACTTCAAAAACCCAGGTGCATACGTGCACAGACCCTGACATACATTGACTTTTTTTTTTTTTTTTGCTGGAGCACCTTGTGATCCTATTTCGGCATCAAGTCTTCTTAATTTCAATCAGTTATAACAGCCTTAATCGAACACATTCTCAAAGAATAACTGTGGTGTCTCATGGAAGGGGCTATAAACAGGAGATTTGAGATTTGATAAATGTGGAAAACTTTTTCTTGTGGGCAAAAATTGCAGAGACAAGATATGGCTGCCTCTAGTATTTTTATCAAAGAAGATTTATAGAAAAAATGTGAACATTTTGCAACCAGATTATCGCCCCTCTATTTTCTTCTATTTCTTCTATTTTCTTCTTTCTTACAGATTGTTGAAGTACAATATAGATGTAAAATCAGATCTGAGAAAAAATTGTGACATATAACGTCTTGGTACTGCAGTACCGTTCTAAACTAGTTTGTTAATCAGGCCTGTGAGATTATCGGCTTAAAACCACTCTCACTTCAGAAATTTTATGTTTAAGCCACTCATAAGAAAGCAGCTCAGGTCTAAAGAGACCTTCATCATCCTCTTCAGTCACTGTTTCAGTTGTTGCCATGTAGACAGGTACTTTCTTAATGTTATATTCTTTTACGCAAAGACATTTTGAGATAATGTTTATTTTCACCAAACTCACAGAAAAAGAACAATTAAGTGCTTATACACTTTTTTGTTTGTTTTGGACTTTATCTTCTTAACTTATTTGGTTTAGCTTTGTGCTTGGTGCATTTCATGCTATTTTATGTTCATTTTTGCATTTAATGGACAATAAAGTATCAGTTTCACAGATGTGTATATAATATAAAAAATTACTGCATAACCAAACACCCCCTTCTTATATGTGAAATTATATGAGGCTGCCATCTAAAACAGATTAATACCAGCCAAAGAATGGTTATATATATATATATATATATACTTTTTACTATATACTCTTTTTTTAGTTCAAAATTTGAAAATTACATTTAAATAAATTCATGTTTGTTTGTTTTTTTTTTTAGTTTTATATTCTATTGCCTTTACTTTAAATCAGAGGAAAAATATGCAGCGATTATCAAAAGTGCCTCATCAGCTGTATTTACTGTTGGGAGTGTTCTAACAATGCTGTTACCAAAAACTCAGGTGCTTCATTTTAGTTAAAGCAGTAAAAGCAACTAAAGGAACAACATGTAACTTTTATAAAAATATGCTTTTTTTTTTTTTTTTTATAAATTTGTTAAAACTACCAGCAACCCTACCGACCCCACTAAGGGACAAAAGGACAAGGGTGTACAGAAAATGGATGGATGGGTGGATGTATTTGTTCAAACTGCCATTATGTTGTAACAGCATAATATGAGAGAGATCATGTGTGGAAAGATCGATCTCCTCCTGCCAAGCTACTAATGACGTCTGTAGAAACGTACTGCTTCCAACCAATAGCAACCAATCAGAGCCAGGAGGAAGGCCTTAGCGCTCACTCAACCTCTTGTACTTGCTGCTCAATGTGCTAATGGCGGAGAATCTACTTACTGTTACTTGAAAATGGCTTCTTCGCCGCCATAACTAGTTTGACCTTTCACAACAGGCTCTGCTACAGGAAACGTAGCAGAGATTATAGAGGTGAGCAGCAACACAATGAGGGTGATTGACAGCTCTAAGATTCACCTCCTGGCTTTTAATTGGTTCTATCTAGTCAGTACTGGGAGCATAAGGAGAAGGCAGAGAGGTTCGATCTTTTCACAGATTATATGTCTCACATCAATCTGTTCCAACATAGTGACAGTTTCAACAAATATAAAAAAAAAATAAATAAATAAAATTCTACAAGTTACATATTGCAGCTTTAAAAGCAGAGTTTTTATGATACAGGGTGTCCTTGTCAAACTTTGACAAAAGCCAGAGTTAAAAATAAAATATTCAAAGCATTAAAACCAAACTGGTCAAACAGGGACATGTGTTATTTCTCTGCTTGAGGATGATCTGAAGACTGGCATATGTGTGTGCACACAGAAATACCTTTATTATTAAGGTTTTTTGTGCACAACGAAAAACAATGTCCTTCGAGAGCAAAGTGAAACCCCTCCAAGCTAAACAACCATAGCAACACGTGAGGAAACTGGAACGGAAAGGTAGGACTTTGTTCTGCGAATAACCAAGATATGACATTTATGCACAGTGTGAATTATTTTTTTACTTATTTTCAATTATTTTAATCAATGTTTAGTCGAAAATTATGCAAAAGTTTGAGAAAACTTCTGCATCATTTTAGACGAAACATGCATGTGTTCTGCCTTTTAAATACATAAAGTTTAAACAAACAGATTTGAATTTTACCATCGCTGCATCTACTCTGTAATCTTATGTCCAACTTTATAAGAGATACAGATCTTACAATTTAACAATCTGAAACTTTTGGATGATTTAAAATTTGTTATTTAGGTAATTATTGTTCAGTCATTGCTTACAGAATGGAGATTAAAAAAAATATGTAAGGCTCACCAAGAGAAGGAGAAAAAGGCTCCTCATCTTGCTTCGCTCTGATCTTTCTTTCTTTCTGCGAACACTGTGCCTGTGGCAGAGGCAACTTGACTTGGTGCGGAGGAGGCCAAGCCCAGATGCATCAGATTGGCTGATTGTGGAATAAACAAAGTCCTATTTGTTCAAATGGAGTGCGTCCTGTTCAAAGTAATATGAGTGTCTCTATCCGAGAAAAGTTCATGCAATGCTTTAAAATGCTTTAAAATAGCTTTAGTAGGTATTTGTAACTGTACATTGAGAGAATGAAGTTTTGCACACTCTGTAATATTTTAAGTATGCCTTTGCTCAGGTGTATGCCCTCTGGGTATGCAGCTCAGGTTACAATGTGTTATGTATGCCTTGGTTCCTCACACATGATATTCAAACTTAGAGCTTTTACAAAATCGGCAGCTGTTGCTAAAAGAAGTTTGGATTCAAATAACCATGAATGCCCCTGCCTCACCTAAAGCAGCCATAAAAGTATTTTTTTTTTCTTTTCTTTTCTAAATGTTATGCAGAGTTGAAATCCTTTTGTAATACTCTTCAGATGTAACAGTCCCCTCTATTTAAAAAGTTCTAAGAAAATATATGCTGATGGTTATTTCTGCATCCTAATACGTTCAACAAAACAAGTCAATATGTTGCCATGCAAATCAGGGACAATGTTCTTGTGCCTTTGTAGTGACTCAGTGAGAAACGATAATATCCTCTTCGCTTGGTGTGAAACATTTCCAGTCTGTATAGTAGACAGAGTTTTCTTCCTGATAGGCTATTTCATTTGGTTATCTAATGTCCTCTTATGTAAAATCGTTAACTGTACTTTTGTATGACCAGGTTATCCAGGTTTGTTTAAAAAACCCTGGTAAGGTTCCCCTACATTTTCTTTGTCTGTCTGTATCTTAGTCATGTTGGGTTATCACTAAATTTTACTTCAAATAAACTCGGCATTTAACGTTGGGTTACTGAAAACAACAGTTTGGCAAGGAAACAAGAGAAACCAGAGTACACCTCTCTCTCAGTTTAGCCCCGGGTAAGTTTAAAGTAATTAGAATAATTGATTTTCTCATGCAACCACATCGTTCTCAACTGAATCAGTTTTAGATGTAAATAAATGTCTTTATCTTTTGGCAATCAGTCAGCCCAAGAAGAAAAACAAGCCTTTCATGTTCCCGAGACTTTGCAAAGTTTTTTCGTTATGATATGACTTATGGTTCTGGGTTACATTTTATTAAGTTTGTTTTATTTTATTTCTTGGATTTATGATGACCTTTCTGTTTGAGATCCGCAACACCACAAACTGTAGTTTAATTATCAAACTTTCTCTGAATCGGTTTGTTACTTTCTCCGATATCTCTTTCGCATTCGTCGCTGAGTGTTTTTCCTGTCAGTTTAATTCTCCATTCGCTTTGTCCTCACATTTTTCAGTTCATAGTTCAGTTCATAGTTTCACTTTACCCGTGGTTATGTTTAGAAATAACACACACTTTCCTTCTTCTCTTGTTGTTTTTTTTTTTTTGGCCCGAAGTCTTAATCATATATCTTCATGTATGTCTTTCAAAAAGCAAATTGCTTGTTACGCCTGAAATATTTACTGATTTGCAAACTGACCAGGACCAGTCCAGACCTATCCCACAATAAAAACAACCTTATTTATTGGAATTAAATATTGTTTGTAGACTTCCTGTTGTCAAATGCATGAAATCCCATGTCATGCAAGACTACAGATATTGTTTTTGTTTTTTGTTTTTTTTTTAATCGCAGCTGTTTGGATCCTCTGCTTACATACTTTTAGAAAATACCTGCATAGCACTTTCACAGAACTTCTGTCAATTAAAGCGACACTGAGAAAATGCTTAGTTTTGTGGTTGCATACCTTGGAGAAGAAAATTCCTCAGATAAAAAAGAAAAGACACACTGGCTTCAGGCAGACAACACGTTGCTCAATGTGTTGCTCAACATTTTGCAACACATTGAGCCACGTTTTGTGACCCATTGTCACAAAAGCCCTTTGGTCTATGGAAATATGGAAATATTTCAGAGCTTGAGTAAGATGCTAATAATACATAAGTCAAATTTGATTTCTTGATCATTTAACAAAACTGCCTCATCGTTAGCAACCTTTAATCTTTTTAACTTTGTCTGCATGCTGCTTTTCTTGTTATAACTTTTTTTTTTAAATTTGCTTTTGTCTGCATCACAGACTGGATGCTGGTCCCTCAGCCAGCTGCATACTTTGCTGGCTGAGGGACCAGCAAAGCGTAATGAAAAGCAGTGAGCTTTATTATACTGGGGGGAGTGGAGGATAACATGAAACACTGCTGAGTTAATCAGGGGGTTAAGAACAGCTATGGAAGAAAGAAAACAGACAGACTGAACGGAGGTGAATAATAAACACAAAGGAAGCTGAACCAGACACAAAGAAACCAGGGGGAAAAAACTAACAGTCATCTAAGACACACTAATTCAAATACACAAAGAACAGAACATAAAGGAATGAAGTGATGCGGCAACGCTTTCAAGCATTAATGGACACAGAGAAATGAACTGAGTACAGTTAAATATTTACCAAATTTTTTAACCCCGTCTCTTTGGGTTATCTCAAAATTCAAAATGGAGATAACGAGGTTTGACCACCGACCTGTAAATTTGAAATATCTCTGGATGCCTGATTCAAATGATTGCATGACCTCCTCGGCTGCAGAAACCTGTAGACCACCCACTTAATCAAGGCAGCTTCATAGCAGAAGGAAAACATCTAAAACATGCAGGGCAGTGGTCCCTCAGGACCAGAACTGAGAAACACATATTTAATGGAAGGATTTTTATTGTCTAAAGGCGTGAATCCCTGTCCTACATGTTTTAGATGCATCTCTATTCCAGCACATCTAATCTGAATGTCTGCATGACCCATTCTTCATGCAGTTAGCGCTGCTGAAGCCTGCTATTCACACATTTATTAAAATTTGGTTTGGGGCTGCAAGTGTGCATCTAAAACAAACAGGATAAAGAGGATAAAGAGGATTCAGGACCAGAGTTGAGAAACATTGGCCTAAAGCTCAGTGAAATATTCAATTTAACCAACATGTAACAAGGGTTTTACTGTCAGTGTGGTTCGAAACTGTCCTCATACTCAATCTTGTGGATCCCGCCAGCAAATACACTATCCACAGACACTCGTAGCATCCAGGAAGAGGCAGAGAACATTCAGCTTAAGGCCAAACTTGCAAAACAAGTTGCACTGGAAACCTGACACTGGAGCACATGACACAAGTCAGTGTATGTCGGTACAATAAAGCCTGTGAAGTTATATTCAAATTTTCCAACAAGTGAGTACAGGCCAGGCTTCAGGAGCATCTTGACAGCTGTTATAGTGAGTAGGCATCTCTGATTCCTCGGAATCAGAATGTCAAAACTCTACAAGAGAGAACAAGCCTTTACTGAAATTGGGGGTGGCGGGGGGGGGGGACAAAAGGTGTGGGAAGAGGGCAACTAAAAGCAGAAGTACATTCAGCAGGTTTACTCTCAGGTTAATTTTAATGGTGGCATTTTGTAAGGTGGGAAAAAGTGTAACAATAAAAAGGCTCTGGGATTGTTTTATTAACAGTTTTACTGTTGTGCTGCACCACTGACATCTTTATGCCTTTGCGAAATAAATTTAACACACAACATGAGCTCATAAAACTCTTCTCAGGTGTGCCATTTTTTTCTCCAAGTGTTCACATCGTAAATACGGAGTCCTCTCTTTTAACAATACATGGAGAACGAGACAGCGAATTTCACACAGGCATTACCAGCATATTTTAGAAAGTACTAAGAACATATAACCATACAGCTACAAGAACATTAGGGCATGCATTTGCAAAAAAAACAACAAAAAAGCCATTTCATACATAATGTTCAAAATACCTTCTTCATGCAAACAGAAGAAACTTTACAAACAGATTTTATTTCTCAGTGGTTGATGTAAAATCACCACTTCAAAAACTACTGATTAAAGGGGTCATGAAGCACATAGTGTCACTGTATAACACAACTTCAGTTGTTCCAATGAATAACATTAGAACATGATGTAAAGCTCAAAAAGTCAATTTACATAATATTTCTCTTGAAGTTGTAAACATGTTGGACAAGAAATTGAAGGTTTTGAATGTGGACCTTTTTATGGGGTGTGGGAGCAATCTTTACCCTCTTATCCTTGCAGGGCGCCCACCTACCTGTCTCCAGCAGTCACTGGTCGAAAGGCGGGATACAAAATTGTGTGAGAAAGTTACGCTCGCGCAGAAAGAAATTACTTGTGCACAGAGACAGAGAGACAAAAAAAAGCAACATCTATAGATTTGGATGTGTGCCAAGAATCTTCTTGCTGGAAGGCAACAGCGCTAACAAGTGTACGATTGTGCAACACGCAACAGTCCCTGATTCTTGGCTGGGGATGTTTTTAATTAAAAATTCTTTAATTGAAAAAGAAAATGAAACCCAATATATTTCCCACTCACTCATTGTTTGTCACTAAAACAGTATTTTGGCGTGTTTTTGTATATTTGTTAATATGACAAAATCCAGTAACCACCTGCTCCTTTTCTTTTTTTTCAGTTTCTCCTAACAAAACCCAGTTTCTAAGAAATGCGCAGCTTACCCTCAAACCAAAAATGTCATCATTGAACTCTTTGAGCTCTTCAAGCAAAGAGCTGCCATTTTTATCTTTAAGGATTAACTACAAATCTTTTAATGCAAGGGTTGACGACAATGAAAGTCAAAAGATGCCGTCGAGCAGGTACTCATGGAAGTTTTGTAACTCCTGTTTGGAGATGATGTTTGCAAAGAAAACTGCAAAAAGAAGATCATAAAAAATAGTACTCAGGTTTGATGCATAATCCTGTTTGCTAACAAAAAAAAAAAAAAAAAAAAAAACGGCCCTGGGTTTTAAAATGCAACTTTTAAAT